ATTGAGAACTATTTTTTCAAGATCAGTCAAGACCATAACTTTGGGAATATCAATAAATTGCTTTTGCATTGTCTGATTTGTTAACATCCTAACTTTGATTGGAAGTAAAACTTATTGCTTCAAATGCAACCAATAACCCTAATTAAACATGTGTTGTTCCCGTTAACAACTGTCACCCCTCCCTGCGATGCTTACGTTGATTTCAGCTCTTAATGTTTGTATGTGGGTGATTTAATTGGAAAGTGGATCTTTCAGATCACTTTCAGAAGTACCTATGATCTCGTTTCACATTTTATTGCGTGCCATGCAATGCAGGGAACTGGTCTTGGTCTTGAATTGGTCTCGCCCTCCCTCGGTCTTGGTCTTGACTGCATCCTTAACCCTAAGAGTCTTGGTCTTGTCTCGGTCTCGATAAACTCTGGTCTTGGTCTTCACTTGATCTCGGTTTGGGCAGTCTTGACTACAACACTTTTATAAAGTTAAGATTGCACATCCCAGCGAACCACTCTCATCAGAGTTTTCGGCCACATTAACCAGACTAGCAACAAATGGCAAATGGCATTAGTTCAGTCCGAGGGGGCTTGGTTTGGGAACTCGAGGGCCGCCAGTTTGAGTGCAGCACCACGGACCACTGCCAAAGGTTCTCCATGAGCAAGACCCTGAACCCCTAACTGCTCCCTGGGCACTAAGCAATGGCTGCCCATTGCTCCTAATTAGGATGGGTTAATGCAGAGAACATATTCCGCATTCACTGTACTATGTATAAATTGCATGTGGCCAATAAAGTTGATTATCATTATCAAAGTGGAGCATTTAGCAGCTAAAGAGCCAGATACATCCCTGACGAGTTGGTGGAGAGCAAAACAGAGTTAAAGGACAGTTCATATAGGACTGTTGATTTGTACTGGTTAGATGTCTAAACAGGCAACTGTTTGATAACAAGTGTGCCACATTAACTGTATCAGGTTCCACGGCCCCCAAGTGGCCATAAAATCAATTATTGCAGATTTACGTCACAAAATTAAAACTTTTTGAAAGGTGACTTGACAGGTGACTTGGTCTCAACTATATTAAAAACACTTTTAGCACACCTTTGGAAGTAATAATGTACACTTGAAAGGTTATTTTTCATTTTAGCATTGGGAGACCTAGAAGAGGGCGGTGCGGTGGTGCAGTGGTTAGCACTGTTGCCTCACAGCAAGATTTCAAAGCCTGGTTGCCCCGGTCTTTCTGTGTGGAGTTTGCATGTTCTCTCCGGGTACTCCGGCTTCCTCCCACCATCCAAAGACATGCAGGCTAGGTTAATTGGTGTCTCCCTTAGGTGTGAGTGGTTGTCTGTCTATGTGTGGCCCTGGCGACCTGTCCAGGGTGTAGCCTGCCTTTCGCCCAATGTCAGCTGGATACAGGATAAGCGGTTGACGATGGATGGAGACCTAGAAGTCTTAAACCTTGAACATTTGTGACTTGACTTGAGACTTATTTGTCAAGACTTTCTCCCCAAAGACCTAAAAAACAGCTCTGTAACAGCTTGTATGATAAAATATTTTGTCTGGTCCCATTGCTCGTCCTCTGGACACTGAGGTTACCTCATCTCAAGGGTGTGTGAGTGTCTTGTGTGACTCAACATATAATTCAGTCGATGAAGCACTGCCATCAGTATCCATCCCTTGTCAAGTCAAACCCTCGCTGTCACTCTCCAAATGACCCCACCCAATCTTGTTTCCACGGTAACTCTATATTGTAGCACTGTGTTGTGGAATCTTGGGAAGTGCTTCGTCAGAGTGTCTCTGCAAAGTCTGCCTACTCTCAGTGACCTCTGGCATTTGTCATCAGCAGACCAACAGATGCTCTTCACATCCTGTGCAGAAAATTCTAGCTGATTCGGACCTGAGTTATGACGAGGAGCAGTGAGAATGCTGACAACCACACATTGTGTTGCTCAACCATTTTCTATTCACCCAATGCAGGGTATGAACTTCTGCATGTCATGATTTCAGGCCTTTGAATTTCTATTAGTTACTTGACTGTGAAAACTATTTGTTTAGGTAATCTATGCAAGTGAACAACATTGTGTTGACTTTTTAAATCAGTAATTATAGTGTATTAAATATAGTGTGTAAAGTGTACATTATTACTTTAACATTATATTCCATCATGCTTTAGAAAACCCCTTCACTTCTCGAAGCTCACAAATACAAACCACTCACACTGAGGGTCAACAAAAACACTCTGAAAATAACCAGTAGAAATAAATCTTTGTTGAAATATGGATGTCATGTATGGAAAACAGAGAGAGAGAAAAAGAGGTGAGGCTGTTCACTTTGATATAAGCCAGGCAGCCTTCCAGAAGCTTTGACAGAGACAGCTCATAAATCTGATTGTGAGACCGAACAGCCCAGGAAATTAAGTCATACCCCAAATACACCATTCTAGTAAGAACTGAATGTCTCTTTTGTTCACAAATATTTATAAGATCTTTTACACTAGTTCCTCCCTCATACTGCATAAGTGCACATTTCAAGAAAAATGTGTTGTTATAACATCAGTGCATACGGAGGTTTCACTATTAAAAGTAACACTTAAGATTATGCATCTTCAAACCTTCCTGTGTTTTGATCCTGGTTTGGAGTTGTTTCACAAGTGGAACGTATGTGGAGGCTTTTTCCACACGGGAGAGATCTGTGACTCAAATGCATTCGCTTTAAAAACAAGGACAGTGTTTTTGCTGTCTTCTTGTGTTTCCCCAAAACCATCTGTTTTATTCTTCAGCCCTCAGTTACGGCTCGTTCCACAAGCCGTGACAGGAATTATTACGTCGCAGCTTCACACACAGTAGCTGCTCTCCAGGCCCATGAGTAAGTTTAGTGTAACCACCACCACCACCACCACCACCACCGCACGTTTCACTTCTTGGCAGAGAAATTAACTTCCCATAAATGAAACCCACAACCATAATCAACCATGTTATGTACAGACATTTAAACCACAGATAAGATTAAACTACAATGTTTGTCTTAATTACAGTGTAAAGTACATAGCATTTTGTTCTGCATAACTGGAATTATCCATTAAATGTAGCCATACAGATAGCTCATTCAATTTAAATATTAAACTTATTTTAAGTGTTATGAAGCTTCACCTGTGAAGCACTGGAACAATTTAACTTTATGTGATGTGGAATCAGTGTTAAAATGCATTGTTTAATTCGACATCAATTAAAGGTTCAGTGTGTAATATTTAGATGATTGCAGAAATGCAATATAATACACAAAACTATGTTTTCAGTGGTGTATAAAGACCTTACATAATGAACTGTTACTAACTGTACCTTAGAATGAGCCATGTCTATCTACATACACTGCAAGTCCTCTTACATGGACGTCGCCATGTTGCGCCGCCATGTTTCTACAGTAGTACAGTAGTACAGGTAGTAGTCAACTGGTTTATTAGAAGCTTAGCTTCTCCTGCCCGCTTGGAAAGGGAGGGGTGAGTGGTGACTAATAGTGAATTCATGTGGTGTCAGAATAATCAGAATCTTTTTATCCTCCTTAAATCTTTAAATGAGTAATAAAGTGCATGGGACATAAAGAAGTATACAGAACTTTGATTCGTGCAAGATCACGTATTGCATATACATATTTTGCAGACATGTAATTTTTAATATGGTGATAACAGTTCTGGTTAGATGTCTAACTGTTCATGTAGAGTGAACTTGATGTCTGTGTTGTTTATAAGCTCTGATAATGATAATCCAACACATCTTTGTAGTAGCGTCCATGTTGATTCCACATTTCAATTTAAGAGCACAAGAACAGACACTGAAGTCGGAAGAACGACTTCATAACTGAGGAGCGTGTGAATGCACCATGAGTGGATGGATGGATGTTTTTGCTCATTTTAAGATGATAATTTCAGATTGTAACTTCACTGTACACGCCTACATCTTTACCGAATTGCATATGTTTGATAGGGGTCCCGCCCTGGACATATCTACAGGTCAAAATTCACTCATATTCATAGCGCCACCTTCTTGCATAAGGAAGTCAACCTTCAAAGAAGCAGTCCCCACATCCTGTTTCACCTCGATGAACAAAACTTTTGTGGCACATGCGTCATCTCAAGATACACAAAATACCCTCCTGGAGCCATACCCTAAACCCAAAGGGAAGTCAGCCACTTTCATTTGGATGTGTAATTTCAGCCCACTTTTTGCCTTTTACAGGATCCATACTTTTACGAACTCCTCCTACAGAAGTAATAGTATCGTCTTTAAATTGTGTCTGTTTAATCTAAAGGCAATGACAATGAAAAGTTGTGCTATCTTTGAGTTTTCCTTGAAGGACGTATCTATAAACAGGAAGGTGTTCTAACTCATGTGTCCCACCCTTAACATATATAGCTACACGCCAATATTCACTCAATGCCATAGCACCACCTACCGGCAACATGAAGTAAACCCTTTGCGAAAAATATAATTTGATTTACGTGACATTTTCACAGCATGGTCCACACTTCATGAACTGGTACACAACATAGGTATAATTAGCGGATGTTGTCTAGCGCCACCCAAGGGACACAGGAAGTGATGTTAAACTCCTTCATGACCAGTCCAAAACACGCGATGATTCAGAGCCGCGACCTCCGGCCATTGCGCAACAGCCGCAACACCCTCATGATGCGCGAGGGCCCGCTCATCGCTGTTTGCAGTTTTAATGTTAACATTTGGTTTTCCGCTGATAAACAGATGTAGTAAAAGACTTCCCCTGACCCCATCACAGCAGGTAGACTATGAATTATCCTGGTGACATCTCACTTGGAACTTAGCAGACTTCAATGCTCATTCATCTTTATAACTTGCTGTTTTTTTCTAGTCTCCTGGGTTCACGATCGACTCTCAGTAATGCCCGCACTCGGGCGGGTCATCCAAACTCCAGTTAAAGCCCTCCCCTTCAATAGGCTGCAGCGGTGTGCCCGGGTATAAAGCCATTGCTCTCCCCTCTCCTCAGTCTGGTGCAACAGCTGCGAGGCGGCAGTGGGGAGTTGAGAAAAAGGGACAGAAATAAGATCTCTCCAAGCTAAACCATAGTTGTGCACTTGCTTAATTTTTCTTATTCTTTTATTTTTTTATTTTTTTGAAAACACTCCTTTGTTAACTAGCTTTTTCTTCTTTTCCACAAAATGACTGGTAGCCCACTCATAGGGTTACTGGTTGCGCTGTGCGTAAGTAGCGCTGTCTATGGCTTGCCAAAGAAGAGCAAAAGACAATCTGGACAGTTGCAGATGTATCCTGAGCTCCATGATGCAGCAGTCGTCAATCCAGGTTGGTACAAGGACTTCATTTTAAAGTATTCTTGAGTTTAATTCCGCATAATGGGTAAAATGTCAAAGATGTTCTTCGTAGACATTAGAAAGTGATTTCTGTTGGATGACTACCTATACATTTTTACAGTAACTTCAGTCTAATAATTTCTCGCATTTATGTGGTTTAATATTTCTTTTGTGAAAAGCCAAATCAGCCAATATTTTAATGGCCATTTATGGTCCAAATTTAAATAATCTTGTAGTAACAATCTTCTTTTTCTATTACATGATTTCTAGTCGGCTGTGAGGAAAACGGTCGCTCATTCAGACTGAACGAGCAGTGGGATAAACCCTACCTTGGTAGTACACTGGTGTGCACCTGCAATGGAGCAGCAGGCATCCAATGTAAAACTAAACCTGAAGGTCAGTGAGAGACCAACCGGTTTAATACAGACATGTCTTAGCAAGCTGTTTCTTGTCACATTTCACATCTGGAAACGAGTGAAAACCCGACTTTGGTGTTCTATCTCTCCCCAGTCCACTATCATTTGTTTTAGAACTTTTGTGTGGTTACTAACAAGTAAGCCTAAAGTATAAGTTGTACATCGCATCATAACGAAAACAGAGTTGCTTTAAAGGCTCGCGTGTTCAGTTATCAGTGCGTCATTACGCAGAAATTGAACTATCCGCAGCAGGTTCGCAATAACAACATCTTAACTTTTAAATATTTCCTCTGTTTTTCTCTCAGTGGAGGAGTCCTGTTATGATAAGTACAATGACCGGACATACCGAGTCGGTGAAACCTACGAGAGACCAAAGGACGGAATGATGTGGGACTGCACTTGTATTGGTTCTGGTCGGGGCAGGATCAGCTGTACCATTGCGAGTGAGTAAACAGAATACTAAACTGCTTGCCGTTCAAAAATCAATACTAAGCAATACCAATCTATCTATTTCAATCAATTTCATCATTCAGTCATTTGTCTTTGTATATTTTTATATATATTTTTTTTAAATTTGTGTTCCCTGCTTATTTCATGAATTTTATGCACCTTATCATGTTTTAATTAAATTTTTTTCCTACATTTTAATCACTAAATACAACATTTGAATGATGGATGAAGGACATGTTTTGAAACAAATAGAGCATCTACATTTTGTTATTCACAGATCGTTGCCATGAAGGTGGGAGGTCTTACAAAATTGGGGACACTTGGCAGAGATCTCATGACAGGCTGGAGTGTGTGTGTCTTGGAAATGGCAAAGGAGAGTGGACTTGCAAACCTCTGGGTGAGTATTTTTACCATATAAATTTAAACCTGCAGGGCAACCAGGATGTTGCCGCTTTCCATATTGCCTCTGGAATTCAGATACCTGTGAAATGTTGCAACTTAAATGTGCAAATTTGACTGTCCAGCTGCCACCACACGCACACAAACATACACAGGGTTATTTTTCAGAAGCATGACTATGCTTGATACCAATGTAAATATTTGACAACATACCAGAAAAAACAAAGTGAGTCTGTGACAGAGCATGTCTCTTCTCTTTATCCATCTTACGCCACAGCTATTGCTTTTCACTTGGTTAATTTCTCCTGGAAGTGACTGGGGTGATTTAGACACTTTTCAAGTTGAATCTTACAGTATCTTGTGTCAAACTCCAGGGACAATAAATTAAGGCTTTCCTGTGTTTTTTGTGCAGCTGAGCGGTGCTTCGACTCTAGTACTGCATCGACATACCTTGTTGGGGACACCTGGGAGAGACAGTACCAAGGCTGGATGATGCTGGACTGTACCTGTCTGGGAGAGGGAAATGGACGCATCACATGCACCTCAAGGAGTAAGAAAACATAAACACACACATGAACACATACTTTTACATTCTTGAGTGGCGTCTGTTGACCACTGTTGTTCACCAACCAGACCGCTGCAATGACCAGGACACCAGGAGGTCCCACCGTATTGGAGACACATGGACTAAGAAGGACACAAGTGGAAACATTTTGCAGTGTCAGTGCTTAGGAAATGGCCGTGGAGAGTGGAAGTGTGAAAGACACAACGCAGGCCGAAGTGAGAAAATCTAAACTTAAATTTAATTTAAATTTTGCTGAAAATGTCAAACACTGTACTCTGATCTTCTCAGAATTCACAACTCTGACATTCATCATTCTTTCAATCTGTTTGGTGGTATACAACAACAGGCGCTCTCGTGGTAACCCCCACCAATTCACGGACTCAGCTGCACACAGGTCTCCTCAACCAGGGTACATGCCGCACAGACTCTGGAGTCACCTACTACGACGGGCAGCGCTGGTTCAGAAGTCAGGGCAGAAAGCAGATGCTCTGTACCTGTCTGGGCAATGGAGCCAGCTGTCAGGAGTGGGGTGAGTACAGGACGGAGGGAAGAATAGCAGGGGTCTCAGTACAGAAGGGGGGGAAGGGGGAATTATGATGATTGTGACTCTGATTTTAATGTAAAACTCATCAAACTTAAATCACTTTTGTTGTTTTTGAAAAGAAAAACCTTTTAGAGGAGATACGTCAAGACAAAATCCTTTCAAATATGACTTTCTGATTCCTTATGTTTCTAATTGACATTAAATAAGTTTAAGAACCCCTGATTCATGTCACACCACTCAAATAATCATCATTATTGGATGCACATTGCTTTGTCTCTGCAATAATTACAATTTTCTCCTGTCTGTGCAGAGGCCTGGAGCCAGGTATATGGTGGCAACTCTAATGGCCAACCGTGTGTGTTCCCGTTCGTCTACATGGGAAAGACCTACTACTCCTGCACCTCAGACGGACGCACAGATGGGCAGCTCTGGTGCTCTACAACCTCAGACTATGAAAAAGAACAGCAGTACTCTTTCTGTACCGAGAAGAATGGTGAGACTGGTTGTGGAATGGAAATGATCATATTTAAAGAGAATATTGGTGCAAACATTGGCAAATCTTTCAGAAGTCAAAGTCCCCAAACTCTAAAGAAAACATCACATGGTAGTATGGTGAGATAGGTAAGAAACAGAATGACTGTTGTATTCTCTTCATTCCAGCCATTGTGACAACAATAGGTGGAAACTCCAATGGCGCTTTGTGCCACTTTCCCTTCCTCTACAGTGGCCGCAACTACACTGACTGCACCACTGACGGGCGCCGTGATGGCATGAGGTGGTGTGGTACCACTCACGACTACGACACAGAGCAGCACTTTGGGTTCTGCCCCATGGCTAGTGAGTGTTTGTGTGTGCTGCTTTGTTTGTTCCACATCATGCATGCATGCAGTTGCTTTGAAACTTGTCAGTTACATGTCTAATAATATAAAGCAAGTGAGTTTTTCTTTCTAGAGAAAGAGAACAATAGAGTTTCCAGTTTACATATATTCATGTAAAATATAAAATCACAATACTTAAAGGAAGATCCAAGGAAGGTTAAAATCAAGGCAACTGGACGTGGTTGAAGATATTAGAAGACATTTCGCCTTTCATCCAAGGGGCTTCTTTAATTCTTCCTTGGATGAAGAAACATCTTCAATTCTAATATAATATTATAATAATACCATCAAAAATCTACTACTTTCTGCTAACAACCCCACAACACAATATGTCACTTTTCATAGACGCAAAAATTACAGTTGTGCGACACCTGTGAGTGATGACACAAAATGACTGTGTTCTATAGAGTAAACTACTGAGTGTCTATTATATAGGGAGTAGTGACTAACTAGAAGAGGGAGCGAACTCAAATTTTTTGTTTTACACTTTGGGTTTTGTACGGGTTAAACAAATTATAACGTGAATTAATGAACTTTAGAGGCGTTGGCAGGTGTTTTGTTACCTTTGGACAGAGCCAGGCTCGCTGTTTAGCCGACTGCTGACTGCAGCTCAAAACAGACATGAGAGTGGTATCAATCTTCTCATCTAACTCTTGGTGAGAAAGCAAAAGTTGGTGTACTCTATATGTTTCCTGCAACCAACAAGTCCTCAATGATTCTGGGTTGTATGGCCAAAAGTCAGAATGTTCAAATGCTAAACTACCATACTACCACATACTTTTTGGGTTTGGATGTAATTACACTAAATGCTTAGTTCTTTATCTCATCCAGTTGCCAGATGCTAATGACTGTTTGGTTGCATGGGTGAGTTGTCGACAATTGGGGACTCAATAGCTGTCCCCAATAGCTGGCGTTGAAAAGAGAGAGGGGTTATGGTCATGGGAGAGTAATGATTCTCCCTTGACTATATAACAGCATTTGATTTCATACATAGTTTTAACACTGCGCTAACGGGACCAAGGAGAATTCCCTGTCCACGCACACACTCCAGCATGTGAATGCACAGATGCATCAAAAACACACACTGCTAGCACAAAGAGCAAAGTACAGATTGTATATATTATATATATTTTTATTCCCTTCTTTCTTTATGTAGCCCATGAGGAGTTATGTACAACCAACGATGGAGTGATGCACCGTGTAGGCGACAAGTGGGACAAACGCCATGATGTCATGGGTCACATGATGGAGTGCACATGCCTGGGCAACGGCCGTGGGGAGTGGAACTGTGTTGCTCACTCACAGCTGCGAGGTCAGAGAGCTAATTCTATCTGGATATGAAACAAAAATGTTTAACCCTTGAAGTAGTTACAGTGGTCATATAAAATAAAAGCTTTATGTTGACTTTGCCCCTTTGTTATGTATCTAGATCAGTGCATTGTTGATGGCTTGTCCTATGAAGTAAACCAGGAATTCTCCAAACTCCACAACGAAGGCTATATGATGAACTGTACCTGCTATGGACAGGGACGTGGACGCTGGAAGTGTGACGCTATTGGTGAGTTCATGGCTCAGCTGTTGGGGAATTCAATGCTAATGCACTTTTCAGCTGAGAATTATAACCCCACCCTTCTCTGTCCCATTCAATCACCTCTTATTTTTTCTACCATAGATCAGTGCCAGGAGCCACAAACCAGGGCGTTCCATCAGATTGGTGAGACATGGGACAAAGTCATCCGCAACATCCATTACCGCTGTTATTGTTATGGTAACGGGATTGGAGAGATAAGATGTGAACCTCTGCAGAGCCACGAAGGTAGGAAAAGTCCACATAGTCTGTATATGAAAAAGTGTTTATCTACAGTAAATCACACAACAACAAAAGTGAAGACTTTATAGTGTCCTATTGATGCAATTTGAGCATTCCTTCTCCTCAGAGTCATAACTTAGTCCAATCTGAACACAGAAAGGACACCTCCTACAAAATTTAGAGTAGCATGACTTAAACCTAAATACATACACATCTCTGATGTCTATTACAGACATACATGAATAAATTCACAGAAAAATCACAGAAAAAAGACACTCCTTATAACTTAAAATCTTACTCATAAACATTGTATATCCAGTGATAGCAGGAGGTCAGTGAGTGCAAACAGGAACTGCAGCGAACTAATTTGGATTTTCATGGTGCAAATTCGCTAAAATGTAAACACGTATAGTTGCATTCAGATTTCAAACAAAGCATAATTTGTGGAGAATCCAGTTGTTAATATCACATAAACATTTGATATAATTGTGATAACTTTGGCTGGTCTGAGGCTCAATCAGTGGGTGAGAGATTTAAATCCTAAACTTGTCTCGTCGTCAACTGTCTGTGGTGACCCTCAGGAGGTATATTATGTATAGCTTTTTAGTTAATTCCTTTAATGCCTCTCAGTCTCAGCCTTTCAAAAGATCAGTTTCCAGGAGTTTTTCTAGCTACTGTTAGTGCTTAATATGTGTTTGCTGTATCCCTAATCTCCCATCACACATCACTGAAGTGAAAAGTTTACTTGCCAGGTTATTGGGGGGGGGTGGGGGGGGGGGGGGGAAGCGGGGATTTGGGATTTTTCTCGACTTTGAAGTCTGGCAAATGGAGAAGTGTTGGGCAATCACATCACCCCTGTCTTCCCCTTGGCTTTTGAATTTGGTGAGGTTTTTCCTCCCCCCGCTCAGTGTTGAGTGTTGTTGTGCTCACCTGCTGAGGGGAAAGGGACGCTGGGCTGGTCGGGGGGGTAGCCTTATACACACTTTCTGCCTCTGATATCTTCCTCTATTTGAGTAAAAGTTGCTTAATGTGATACTTTGTACTGCAGCACATTGTGTGTCCTGAATCAAACATTGACCTAAAAAGCTGCAGTTGCAACATTTATCTCACCATGTTCAGTAGCAGAGGAAAGTGTGCTTGTAGAGCAGGACGTTTAAAGATATATGTGTGTGTGTGTGTGTGTGTTCTTGGGGGTACTGAGGCTAGACAAACTGTGAGGAATATAGTACTCTGGTGTTATGTCACACTGTAAGATATCAGTGGGTGTTTCGGCTGGTTTAGCACCGTCTGGTGGTTTGGTTCTGTCCCGAAAGGATGAATCTGTCTGACAGAGGCTCACACAAAAGTGGGCCAACTTTCACCCTCACTTTCGACAGGTAACAGTGTTGTATTATATGTCTTTGACAATGTGCGAGTCTTTTTCTCATTGCTTATAGCAGCTGTGTTCATGTCTCTCCTACTCTCTCCTAATGTCTTCCCCTAAATCTTTCCCTACACATGTTCCCAACTTCGCAGATGGCCACAGACCTGTCCAGGTGATCATCACAGAGGCAGGAAAACAGCCAGACTCCCACCCCATTCAATGGAGCCCCCCTTCAACTGTTCAAATTATCGAGTACATTCTCAAATGGAGAATTGTGAGTCACTACTTTGGTTTGTTACACTGGTTAGAAATTTCCTTTGTAAATGCAAGTGAGCTCTCATTTCTTTCTCAAAAGGGTGTTTGAAATTTGCTGGCCAGTAGCATTAGTAAAGATGACCAAACAGTCTGAATGAGGTCAAGTGCTTCTGGCAAAGTTGACTGATGTTTCAGCATGGACAAACAAATTAATTAGAGGGTACATGAACTCTCCATTACAGTCTACATATACAAAAACAGTTTGTAGTTGGTTCCAAGCAAAATACTCCCCTCACTCTGATTTTCTTCACACATCTTTCTCTCTTTGAATACCTCAAAGAGTGACAAGCTGGTTCAAATGTTTATGGAACGTAATTGAAGTCAAAATGATTTCCTCTAATGGGGTTTGTATATTTTGGATGGCAAAGTCACTCAAATCCTTCATCTAGCCCTCCTGCTGGGAAAGTTTGCAGTTTTCCGACAGAGTGCAAAGCCAGTCCAAATACTCCTGAAGCAGGATGTGGCAGTAAATGGGCCCGAGCCAGTGTCCACTCCATAATATACAGGGTACCATATAAAGTCTTACTTTTCTGAATTAATTAACAATTCCAGTAAATCAAACTTCATCATATATGTGCTGAAGATTTATGCTTGCCACCAAGAGTTTAGAAATCAGATTAATCCAGTTGAGAAAACGAAAACTCACCACAAATTCCATTTAGTAGCTGTTCTGAAGCTTTCAGTACAATAACATGGTCTTCTTCAGCAGATGGAGATGCTTAGTTATAACATCATAGCAGATGTTTATGTTTCACTTTAAAGCACTTTAAGGGACTTTAGTTTGCTTAAAAGCTGAGGTGGGAAACAGCAGCTGAGAAAAAACTTCAACTTTCAATCATATTGCATGAATTTAAGATTTTCCTCTCTTCATTGTATGCTTTATGCCGTTAAAACTTGACTTAAAACCCATGAGCTTTTTATCTTTTTACCCCTTCTGTTAGAAAAATGCCCGTGACTCCTGGAGAGAAGTCACTATCCCCGGCAATCTCAACTCCTACACCATCAGTGGTCTGCGTCCAGGCATCACCTATGAGGGTCAGTTGATCAGCATCTTTCAATATGGACGCCGTGAGGTCACACGCTTTGATTTTACCACTACCCAAGGGTCTTGTAAGTAGACTTCAGCAGTGACATTCCCTCAATGCCAAAAATCTAAACAAATATTCACGTGATCATTATATCCTTTTTATCTCTTAAGTGGAAACATCAGAGGGAGAGACAACCCAGCCTGTTCCAGAGGTAGACACTTCTGAGTCTGTGACAGAAATCACCTCAAACAGTTTCGTTGTGTCCTGGACATCAGCCTCTGCTACCATCTCTGGCTTTAGGGTGGAGTATGAGCTCAGTGAGGAAGGTGCCAAGCCGAAAGTCCTGGGTAAGAGCCTTTGGCCATCACTGAAACCTCCACAATGCCTCCATAATAATTCAAGTAATTGATTGAGGTATATTAGGTTAAATGTGATCAACAGATTTGTTGTATTATACACCGTGACACCAATCCTATTAGTAGTGGGTAATATGGATGAAATCCTCTATAATGGGATATTATGTGATTTTATCAAGGTAGTAGATGGTAGATTTTCTGGAAAATGATCAGACAAGTCTGTCCATTTTTGGCTAACCCACTCTATCAAATAACTGGAAGTCAAGGTACTTCATACAAGAAATCATATAAAAATCCAATATTGCCACTCATTGATTTGCAGCATTGCCCAAATGGTCTCAGCCACCCAGAAATATTAAAGACATACTGTGGCTACAGTGGTGTAAACAGTGTGTCTACATCATAAAAAACTAATTTATGCTAGTATGTGTATTAACAAATTTTCTGTCTGCTTATCCAGATGTTCCTCGCACAGCCACCTCTGTCACCATCGCTGACCTCCTGCCAGGACGTCGATACAACGTCAATGTCTACGAGCTCCCAAATCAGGGACAACCAAACCTCATTTTGTCTACCACCCAGACTACAGGTGGGAGAGTCCCACTCCTCCTTGTTATCATGACAATGAGCTCAGGATTATTCAAATTTTGTACATTTTAACACAAAACACAATGTTAATGACTTCCATCCTTTCCTCAGCTCCTGACTACCCTGCCCAGCATGCAGTCGATGAAGTGGGAGAGACATCCATCCGAATCAGCTGGTCCAGGCCTCAGGCTCCTATTACTGGTAAAGAACCTGTCTCTGTATGTGTAGTTATATGTGATTTAAATTAGTATTTTTACATAGAGATCCGTTTTACTCTGGCTGTGTGTAAATGTATGTTTGTGCCTGCCAGGTTACCGTGTGGTGTACACGCCGTCAGTGGAAGGCAGCAGCACTGAGCTGACCCTGCCACAGTCAGAGACCTCAGTGAACCTGGGTGACCTTCGCCCTGGTCTACTTTACAACATCAGCATCTACGCTGTGAACGAGGACCAGGAGAGTGAGCCTGTTTTTGTACAGGTCAACACCGCCGGATCTCCTCTACCAGGTACACATTCCTAAACAAATACTGTATCTTTCCGGTAATAAAAAAGCTGAAATAAAAAACCTTTATAAATGGTGTAATTTAGTGCTTCAAATCTTAAGCCAATGGCAGTTTTTTGTTTTATTAAGACTGTAATAACAGTGTGTTATTCTATATTTTAGATGGTAAATTTTTCTGTTTAGATCATTCTTTGTCCTTTGGCTGTCAGTGAAAGCTGAGCAGATAAAGTTTATACTCACAGCTAAAGATGCCTTATATGGCCAGGGAGCTTTAGGAGGGGCATTCCAGTGTTTGGGAAAGACTGAACTTGTCAAAACATTGCTTTGTCAAAATAGGCTTTTACAGCTAAAGCTATAACACTGTAATATCTTTTCAGAGGCTTCTTATCTTCATCTTAGTCTATCGAGGCCCCTGAACGAACTCTCTTTAATTCATGGTGGGCTCAGAAACAGACACCTGTTCAGACGCAGTTAAAACAAAGCAAGCATGCGTACAGCCCACACCCAGACAGAGGCACACACACTTCATAAATCCTCATATATCTTAAATTGGATTTCCATTTTTGACTCTTTCCTTTCTGTGCCGGGTACTGAAAAATGAACTATTTTATTATGCTCAAAAAGAAAACCAGATGCTGTAGAGAACTGTTTTATATTCTTATATATAAATATATATACTTTCTAGCCATGTCTGGTTTGCTATTTCTCTCATATTTTCTGCTTTGTCTGAGCCATTATTGTTGAAATCTGTAAATATCTCAGCCTCAAAGTTGTTTAAGAGGTGGTGTTAAGCTTTTTGTCTTTTTCACGTGTCGGACTAGCTGCTTGGATAGCCCTCAAAAACACCGGTGGAAAAACACTGAGCTGCAGCACGCACCTCTTCTCTCCCTTCCAAACACTAGCTACCCCCCAGGCAGTCAATGGACATAAAGTTGTTACTGTGATGTAGAGACAGAGCTTGGTTAAAACTTTATGGATGAAAGATACATTTGTTACAGATTAATAACTCACCACTCTGCAACATGGACAGCTGAAATTAAGCCGTGTTTAGCGGCTTCTCACTGACCCGCCCTTCTCTGCTTCTGATTGGCTAGTAGTCTACTACTAGGAACTGCGCATGTGCAACTCCCAACAAAGATCATTCAGAGACAAGATCTATCACTCCATAGCTGTAATGAAGTGTTCGACACACAGGGTGAAGAGAGGAGCTACAGCAATGTGCAATGAAAATTAAACCATGTATACCTGTTATGGTACAACCCCTAAATAGGATTTTGAACCTGAAAATTAGCATAATTATAATAAAGCACCTCTTTAAAGCCTGATTTCTTTAAACTTATAGATTTTTGAAAAGCTGATTAAATAAAGCCACACAGATTTTTAGTTATACTGTTCTTAGTATTTTTAAGTTAGCCTTGTAAATAACTAACTAAGTTAAAGGTGTTCTGTGGAGTTTTCTTTAAATAGTTATGGTTACATGCAGTGTTTCTGAACAAAACAAATTGTGGGTATCCTTGAGGCCTAACAAATATGTTAAATGCAAAACAAATGGGGACCCTTGTAAGTCTGATTGTGACTATACCTTTTGTCAATCAATCTACCACTTCCTGTCCACAGAGGAGGTCCTGGCGCCCACAGACCTGCAATTCAACGAGGTGTCAGATGTGAAGATCACCATCACCTGGATCGGTCCACCTAGTGAAGTGACCGGTTACAGGGTGACCTTCTCCCCTGTTGGTCCTCACGGCACTGAGACAAGGCCGATGCAGCTGTCCATCTCACCCAACGCATATGCTGAAATCAACCACTTGGAGCCGGGCACACTCTACCGCTTCTACATCTATGCCATCAATAGTGGAGTTGAGAGCAAGCCTCTTGTGGGAGAAAAGTCTACCAGTAAGTATCACCATAGTGAAAGGAGCTCGAATGACACAGAAAAACAAAATACAAAATACAAAACATGAGTGATTTTCTGCCTTACATGTGTTTTATTTTCCAACCCCTCCAGAACCTGATTCACCCACCAATGTGCATTTCACTGACATTGGCCCAGACAGTGCACTTGTTATCTGGGAGTCTCCCCGCGCCATTGTCAGTGGCTACCGTCTCTTCCTGAGTATCGAGGGCTCCAACCCCATCGAGAAGAGGATCCCGGGCAGGGTCACTCAGTACCCTTTGAGGAATTTACGTCCAGACACCCAGTACACTGCCACCCTGCATTCTGAGCTGGACAGTGAGCTCAGCGAGGGCGTCACTACATATTTTACCACCGGTCAGTACTAAAAGAAACAGAACATCACCAGAGAGAATAGTAAGTTGTTGCAATGAATTTAATTTGATTTTCCACACTCCATCCTCCTCCCAGCTCCCCAGAGGGGAATTGCACCTGCTTTCAGCACTGAGGTCACTGATACCTCTATCATTATCACCTGGATACCTGTCCGCAGATTCAGCTACAAGGTAAACACCTGCATCATACTATGAAATAACTACACGTAGCCTAGTTTAAAAAGTGTTACTCATAATGGCAAACCCTCAGATAATTATCCCCCAACTCTGTACTTCCCGTCAGCTCTATGAAGCTTCATAGCGTCTTTTAGCTCATTGTTTTGGTTTTATGGCCCGCAACTTTACTGTTTTGACTCATACTCATCACTCAGCTCTGGTAAACGCACTGTACACCTCCTGCCCAGCACCAAACTGCAGACAGTGTTTGCAACTAGGCGGTGAACATAGTGGAGCTTTTAGCAGCTAAAGACACAGACATTTCACTCAGTTGGTGGAGAGCAAAACACAGAATAAAGGAGAGTAAAAATTGTACTTAAATTTGTTCGGTGACCTTAAATGAATGACAATGTTGCTCTGTGTCTGCTAGATGTGTAAATAGGCAACAGTTATATTAACATGATCGCCATATCAACTTTGTAAGGTAACGATATGTCAGTGTTGTGTTTGCAGCTGGTTGTGCTGCCCCCAGGTGGCCAAAAAAAATCAATTCATGCAGAGTTAATGTATTTGCTGTATGTTTTAAATGTATTTTCTAGGTTTCTAAACTCTGCTTGTCTGCCTCTTTATCCCCAGCTGTCTGTGCTTCCCAGCCAGGAAGGCGAGTCTCCCAGAGAAGAGACCTCTGACTCTGGACGCATTTATATTCCTGGTCTGATTCCAGGAACTCAGTACACCTACAGTGTTCAGCCTATCTTCAACGGACGCAACAGTGGAAACCCAATCACCCGCAACGTTGTCACTTGTGCGTGTCTAATTCTATTTATTGCAATGCAGCAGCCAAAGAAGTTGTATAACTAATCACCTGATTGATTTAATACTGCTATGAGCTCACAAAGCATTGTTGAATCCATTTGGCATGAATTTGTGTAAGAAGTTACTGCTGCATCGAATCAAGTTTCTCATGCTTGTGTCATGGTCTTTTTTCCTCTCTTTGCAGCCCTGTCTCCTCCCACTAACCTCAGAGTGGAGTCCAGCCCCGACACAGGACGTCTAACTGTGCACTGGGTAGCCTCCAAAACACCAGGTAAATATTGACTGTGCTCCCCACGCTCTGCCAGCCCATTGGATCACGCCAAGTCTAGGCCATGGCCTTCAAATGGTATTTTCTGTTCTCAGTGACTCATACATTGCAAACACCTCTCGACATGATGTTTTATCTCCTGCATATTTGTTATGTTCCCCTACCCTCTGCAGGCATCACAGGTTACAGAGTGACAAGCAACCCAACTAACGGCCAGCGAGGAATCACCCTGGAAGAGATTGTCCGAGCTGATCAAACCTCATGGTTGATAGAGAGCCTGAGTCCTGGGGTTGAGTACAACATCAGTGTCTACACTACAAAGGATCATTTGGAAAGTGTACCTGTGTCCACTATTGTCACACCAGGTAGGAGCCACCAGGAAAGCATTCACACTTGCTGTTAATGGACATCAAACACACAAGTGTGTCCACAGAAACGTGAGTGTGTGTATAAAAGAGAGAGAGATGATAGAAGAAAAGAGATAAAGAGATGAATTTGCCATTAAAGGCTGGGTCTAAGTCAAATTGGAGCGAACTCCAATATTTCCCCTTCTGTCATTGTGGTAATATTTTCACTATTCCCACCCTTACAATGTATTCCTCTTCATGCTGCAACTATTTCCATAACAATACATAATTTTTCTTTCAAAAGAAAAAACCTGGGATATCTCAAAAATGGATTTTCTTAAAGCTGCGTTAATAGAGTCCACTTCCGACCCATGGGACCTTATTTTGGAAAAGATAAGTACAGTAGTCAATGGAGAGAGGCAACTAATGTTTTATCTAGTCTGAATTATGCCCATTAGCTTCAGCCATTGCGAGAAATAGTTCTGACATCATACTTGTGACTTTTGGGTTGAGTCTTATAACTGGACTGTTCTACAACAAACTGCGGCTTTCTTGACTTTCAAAATTTTCTTTCAAATTGACAAACATCAATCATTGGCACAATTCAAACTGGATCAAAAAAAATTGTTGTCTCTCGCCATTGACAACCATACATATTTTTTCCAAAATAAGGTTCTATGGTGGTCCACTGGAAGGCGACTTTTTAGGCTCTCTATAGATTTTTGGCCACTAGCAGAATACAATGACCTGACAGACACACAGCCCTGATATTATCACCTTTTAAAGTTGCTATGGCTAATGGTTTAGCAGAAATAATGTCAACTTGCCCATTCAGCAGACACAGAGCAACATTATCACCCCATTGAATGGCTACCTAGTGATTTAAGTTCAACACTCACTATCCTTTTACCTCTGTTTGGTCTCCACCATATCCACCAAAAACATCTTGGTGGGCTGCTGGGCAGATAGGGTAGAGCTGCTTTATCACTGCTTGTTTGCCACTAACAGCTGTCTACTACTGCTGGAATCGACATCAATGAGAGCAGTGATATCCAATCCAAATGTAAATGAGCTTTAAAACCAAAACAGTGAGCTAACAGTGAGCTAAAATAGGCCACTGGGAAGGGCATGGTTTTTGATCTGAGAGAATTAATGAAGGCACATTAACAGCCTTTTTATTAACTCATATGATAAACTCAAAAAATATAGTAAATTTCATAAATCTATTCTGTCATTTATATTTTCTTTATTCCACTGTAAATCTACTTTTATTAAGTTAACCTCTTTGTTTTGCCTGTGTTAGCTATAACTTTTAACCCTCTCTCCTCCAGCCATTCCTGCTCCCACCAACCTTCAGTTTGGAGGAGTGGGTCCTGACCACATTAGGGTGACATGGACAGTCCCCCATGTTGCCACAGCAAGCGACATCTCCCGGTTTGTCATCCGTTACCACCCTGTAGCCACAGACGACGATGTCAAGGAAGTTAATGTTGGCGGAGCAACCAACACTTTCCTGCTGCAGAGTAAGACAACATACAGATAGTGTGTGTTTAATAGTGTTTGACAGACTGCTGGTGTTCAAGTCCAATATGGGCTGTTTTTCTTTGCATGTCAAGTCATTCTAACTGTATACTTACCTCTCCATTTCCATATAGACCTGCTGCCCAACACTGAGTACCGTATCAGTATTGTGTGTGTGTACGGTGAACAAGAAAGTCAGCCTGTCACAGGGACTCAGAGTACAAGTGAGTATGACAGTGGTTTCCAAAGCGGGTCCCTTAAGGAGGGGCCAACAGTGCTGGAAGATTTGACATTTATTACCATTACCACATTTTTAATGATGTTTCCATCACATAAAAACAGGCAAACAAAAAAAGTATTTATGTATTAAAAACTTAAATATGCAATTATACTGCAGCTAATCTTAGTGACATGTCTGTTCTGTTTTTGAACAAAACAAAATTAGCATACTTCATTTTTGTGTCTTGTATTAATCTTCAAATGTGTAGCAACATGGCCTAAAACTGCTGACTGTTTTCAAATTCCTGAGTTACTTAAAAGTACTTACTTACTTAGTACGTACTTACTTAAATTATGTAGTATTCACTTATATTTGTCCATTAAAAAAAGTCTTATAATGTCAGTTTTTAGGTAAGGTTGTATATGCATGTTTTGTAGGAGGGCTTGGGGGGCTCTCATGAAAAAAAGATGTGCTATGGTATTAAAACATTTGGGAGCCACAAGTCCAAGTCAACCCACAAATTGTTAAAATGGATAATTTGTGTTGTAAATTTTGTAATTACCATTATGATTACCTTTCCCTCCAGCTCTGGACTCCCCCACTGGCTTGGACTTCTCTGACATTAGCACCAACTCCTTCACCATTCACTGGCTGGCTCCAACTTCTGCTATCACCGGCTACCGCATCCGTTATCAGAAGACCAGTGGTGGGCGGGCAAAGGACGAGAGGCTGCCCCCAACCAGGAACCACTTCACTTTGACTGGACTGACACCAGAGACAGAGTATCTGATATATGTGTATGCTGTCAACAACAATCAGGAGAGTCAGCCTCTGACTGGCACTCAGGCCACCAGTGAGTTTCTATACTGGTTTCTACTATAACCTCTTCTTTCATTTCTCTTAGTGACATTCCCCATTTATAATATATTTTATAATAATGCACATCCTTCTTCTTCTCTGCTTTCCTCTTCTAATCCTCTCCAGTCTCTGATGCTCCTACTGACCTGGAGGTAACATCGTCCACCCCCACCAGCATCACCATTCGCTGGGATGCCCCCTCTGTCACAGTGAAGAACTACAGGATCACCTATGGAGGAACAAGTCCGTACACGTGTTTTAATTCATAGATTCCCTCTAAACCTCAACCATCTTCTGAGTTTAACACTCTGCCTTTCTTCACTGTCTTTGTAGGTGGCGAGACTCCTCAAGAGTTCACACTCCCAGGCACTCAGACCACCACCACCATCACTGGTCTGAAGCCTGGTACTGACTACACCATCACAGTCTATGCTGTTACCGGAAGAGGGGACAGCCCAGCCTCCAACACCCCGGTCTACATCACGCACAAGACTGGTATAGAAATGTGAAAAAAATAATTCTGATTGTTGAGAGGTTAAACTAAGTCTAAAGCTTGGTATATGTCTTGTCTCTCCTTTAGATACCGAGCCCCCAACTGACTTAAAATTGACTGATGTGAGTGACAATGCTATCACAGTACGCTGGTCTCCTGCTCAGGGACCAATCAGAGGTTACAGAGTAACCAGTGTCCCCAAGAATGGCCTGGGACCCTCCTACTCTGAGGTGTTGGCCCCTGGTAAGACCAGAACCAGGCTGTCATTCTATTTTATATATATAATTTCATATTCAGTATCCTCTTCACATTGGCTCCTTTTCTGCTCCTTCGTTACAGATCAGACAGAGATGACGTTCACAGGTCTGATGCCAACTGTTGAGTATGTCGTGAGTGTCTATGCTCTGAGCAGTGATGGACAACCCTCTTCCCCTGTGGTGGAGAATGCTATCACTGGTTAGTTTGACTCAATTAAATGAAAACTGATCCAAGAAAGACTTCATTTAGGGATTGTTTCAGTATTAGTGATGCTAGTTACTCAGCATTATTCAGTGCATTTACATAGTACCTATTAATTTAAATTCAATTCAAAGTGCTTTACTGCATTAACATTCTTATCTGACCATGTTTGCTGCTGTTCATATTCTCATTTAACTGTCTGCTAACTGGCAGATGTCTGACCAAGAGTCCTGCCTGTCCTTGCTTCTATTGCTCTCAGATTAACTCACAACAAATGAGACAAAATAAATCAGAAGCGTCACTTTAAGATATATATGTTCTTTCATTAAAGATAACTGCTCAGCGCTGATGAAAACTACCAATCTTCCTCCTTTCCTGCAGCTATGGACCGTCCCAAGGACCTGACCTTCTCTGACATCGAATCCACCTCCATGCGTATCACTTGGGACAGTCCAGAGGGCACGGTGACATCATACCGCGTCCTGTACTCCAGCTCAGAGGAGGGTGAGAGAGAGCTGCATGCAGCACCCAGAGGTGACCGGGACAGTGTGGTGCTGAGAGGCCTTCGCCCTGGGACAGAGTACACTGTTAAAGTCATCGCCCTGCATGACCGCACACCTAGCACACCGTTGGTGGGAACCCAGGCCACAGGTAGAAAAACACAAAAAACATCAACACATTCATGACTTATTTGTATGTTCCCTGACTCCAATTCTAAATGTGTTTTTTTGTTGTCTCAGTAATCCCTTCTCCAACCGGCCTGGAAATCTCAGAGATCGGTCCCTCCTCCTTCACTGTGTCATGGCAAGCCCCCAGTGCACGCCTGACAGGCTATCGTGTGATCGTCAGCCCCAAGAACATCAACAGCCCCAGCAAAGAGATGAACGTTGCTCCACACACCACACGTGTCGTTGTACCAGGGCTCATGGTAAACAGAGTTCTTGTATCAGTATTTACATTGATTCACAGTCAGTCAGTGAGTAAATATGAACTGTATGTCTGTGTGTCGTAGGTGGCAACCACATACCAGGTACACGTCTACGCTCTGAAGAACTCTGTCAGCAGCAGACCGCTTGTGGGAGAGACGACCACACTGGAAGGTAACTAGCTGTACCATAAATGGGCACATTTCCAGTCAACACCAATTATTATCCACTGCTCTGTTTTATGTTTTTTTTCCCTCCTCGATGCAGATGTAAGTCCTCCTCGCCGTGTTCGTATCTCTGATGTGAAGGATACTTCTTTCACACTGACCTGGCGCTCCAAGATGGAAACCATCACTGGTTTCCTTATTGAAGCCACACCCATCAGTGGCTCACGCCCCACTTTCAGCAGGACCATCCCACGAGAAACAAGCACTTACACTCTCACAGGTATGCCACACCTTCCTGCTAAATAGACCTTTAAGAAGTTGGAAATGGTTTATAGATGTAAGTTTCATTGAAGTATGATTTTTGTGTTTCAATTTTGCTTCTGCTTTTTGTTTTTCTAAGGTCTGCAGCCAGGCACCACATACTCTGTTAGTCTGTATACTCTGAATGGCAACACAAGGAGCGCTCCGTTTACTCTCATGATTAAAACAGGTACAATGCAAATCTGTGTCTAATCTCTCTGTTTCATTGCAAATGCATTTCAGGATTCATAATGTGAACTTAAATTAAGATCAGATTTTTCCATATCCAGAAATGCTGATTTGAATGTGGTTGCTGATGTTTTATCCTTACATGCAGTACATAATGCAGTGTGAATACAAGCAGTATCAATAAACAACAAGAAAGAAATGGCACAAATAAGGCACACAATGTTTTAGATAAATACAGCAACAGCAGAAGCACCCATTTTATATATGAACAACAATATGGACAAAATGTAGAACAAAGTGCCATGGTCACAAAGGGAAACTGTTTACAGGTCTTGGGGTGTACTACTACATATATGTACTGCATATGGCTCCAGAAGGAATTGCGTAAAGTCTGATAATTGCCTCAAACAATATCTCTGGGTCTAAAGACTACAAGTTTGAAAATGAGAAATATCTAGGGGTATGGAGTTAGAAAAAAGTGAGCTTATCACACCTCTGTAGCGCACTCCTCATATCATTGAGACTGGCGGCTTGAGGCTAGCTAACACATCTCTCTTGCTGAACTGTCAGCTGTCTAGTTGCATTATGGGTAATTTAGGCACCAGGTTTTTACGGCATTAAGTTTTACAATGTTATAGCAGAGCAAAGCTAAATCAGTGATTTTAAGTTGGATCTTAAAAAACAAATTGAAACGACAAATGTATCTGTAGCCTTTGACACAAATCACAACTGGAAAACCCTACAGTGCACGCTGAGACGCAACAAGCAATCAAATGATCTAACATGATATTTTTCTTCACAGAGGAACCAGTGGTCCAGGCTCCCACCCACCTCCAGTTCACATCTTTGACCCCGACCTCCATCACCTTCACCTGGCAGCCACCTGCCACACAGATCACAGGATACTACATTACCTACGAGGAGTCAGGAAGAGAACCACTAGAGCTCATTCCACGACCCCACACCGGCCAAACCTATGCCACCATCTCAGGTATGCGTTTTTCTACCTGTAATTTTCACTACAAACGATAATGCCACTGAAGATACCGTATGGGGCATATTTGTCACTAAAAATTGTTTATTTAATTAGGCTTTAGCATATTTCATTTTTCATTTTTATTTTGATGTACAAACATGATTTAGATTTATGAATAAGTCAGGTGCAACCCACTAATTCCACTATATGATGATTATTCCTCTCCTCAGGCCTGAGACCATCCACTGAGTACATCATTAGGATCGTTGCCATCCAGAACTCACAGAGGAGCGCACCTCTGGTGGGCAAAATCAGGACTCGTGAGTATTTTGAGACTTCTGATGTGTACAGTGACAAATGTGATGGTAAAGATGAAGCATTCAAATGAATTACGAGCAAACACCTTGTAAAATGTCAGGGTTTGAATGGCAGCTTTAATCTGCTCAGCTGAACCGTTTTGCTGTAATAGCTCAGAGGCCTTGAGAAAAACTGTGCAGTCAATCAACATGAGCCTCCTAAAACAATAATACCCCTTTTTATTTTGAATGTCTCCAGAAATGCCATTCAAAATATCTCTTGTGGGTTTGTAATACTGCATCAAGACACACTTTGCAATGAAGTAGTACCCCAGCAATGCTGCTTATACGTCGCCTCCTGTTGGCTGAGATGTGTTACTGCAGCGCTGCTTTACCTCCCCCCTTTGTCTAACCTGCTTGCTTTCCTAACCCTGTCTCTCCGCCCAGAACCAGGCTCCTTGCTTCCCCTGCCTCTGCCCAACCGCCCTGGAGGTGTTGATGACAGGCTGGATGTGCCTGAAACTGATTTGGACAACAGAGTTCAGGTAGTGGGCAATAGTGGCGACGATGGGCTTGGTGGTCAGAGTCAGCATGTGGAGTACAACAACGGTGGCGACCCACAGTATCGTGAGCCCCTGGTCTTTGTGCCCCTTCCTGATGCAGAGGGCCGCAGATTGCCTATTGTAAAGCTGAACGTGCCCATCGGCTCCACGTTCGGTAACGAAACAGGAATACCACAGGAGGCCCAAACTCGGACCTCCATCTCCTGGAAGCCTTACAAGCAGAGTAACGCCTACCTGGTGTCCTGCCATCCTCTCACGCATGTAGATGAGCAGATGTTCCAGGTAAAAGACAAGGGCTATGGCTTCTAGCCCAGCTCATCGTGCTGTCTAAACATTATTTATCAGTCATATTTGATGAAATCTGTTATTTCATGTGGACAAAACCATGCCTCGCTCTCTACCTGTCAGGTTCGCCTGCCAGGCACAGCTACCACTGCCACCCTGATAGGACTTACCCCTGAAGCAAACTATAATGTGATTGTGGAGGCTCTGATGGGTATGCTCAAACACAAGGTTCTGGAGCAGGTCATCACTGCTGGAAACACAAGTAAGCATCCGACAGCAATGGTTGTGTCTAAACTAGGCTGAACTACGTTGAAATTCAATGTAACAGTCCTGTTTAGCTGGTGACTCTGAGTGTCGCATACCAGACCTTATAGTTCAGTAGATACATCAATTCTCTTATAGTGGACAAGGCTTTTATTTACCTCTGTGGCCTTTTGATAGTAGAGGCAGGCTTTTTTAACTAATTTTCCCCGGTTAATGCAAACTCTCAAATTCAAATGTGTAATGGACATGAATTCCATCAGTTCAACAACAGAGTCGTGTCATATTCACCACTCTGTTGCTCTGAGTTTATCATCCCTAACAGAAGTAGTTTTACTTCACTAAATAATTCCAGTTATGCTGGCCATTTCATACAATGAAATCTCAGCAAAAATGATCCCTTGATGGAAACTTGGTTTTTAATTATTTTTCTGAAATTTATATTATCCTCTTAGACAAATGAAAAACATTTCCCTGACTTAGTTCATTCAAAACGGGTTCTGGGGCTCTAGCAACCAATCTTCACGCAGCTTGTGGCTTACACAGATTTTTCCTCACACCTTCTGCAGTCCCAGAGGGAGTGCCGTCCACTAAGGACTCATGTTATGATGCCTTTACTGCAACCTACCATGATGTTGGTGCTGAATGGGAGCGGATGTCTGAGACAGGCTTTAAGCTCTGGTGCAGGTGCCTGGGCCTGGGCAGTGGCCACTTCAGATGTGATTCATCTAGTAAGTTTGTTTGGATTTCTCGGTCCTGGAGCACATTACCATATTTGGGATTTGATTATATTTCACTTGGTTTCTCTGACTAATATTTTATCATCAGAGTGGTGCCATGACAATGGCAACAACTATCGCATTGGAGAAAAGTGGGACCGCCGTGCAGAAAATGGTCACTTGATGAGCTGCACTTGCTTGGGAAATGGAAAAGGAGAGTTCAAGTGTGAACCACGTAAGGCCTCTTAAGACCCCTAAGAAATGTGTGAAAATTTTTTTTAAATAAAGTGCAAAGACATGCCAATTCTGCCGTGAATGTGTGCCCACGCAGATGATTCGGTGTGCTATGATGACGGCAAAACGTACCAGGTGGGAAACCAGTGGCAGAAGGAGTACCTGGGTGCCATCTGCACCTGCACATGCTTTGGCGGACAGCAGGTATGACTCATCGTGATACATACTGACTTATATTGGTCATTCTGTGAGTTAAATTAAGCCTTTTTAAATGAACACTTGTATGTATCAGGGCTGGCGATGCGAGAACTGCCGCAGACCAGGTGCTGATGTCGATGCCAGTCTGCTGCAGCCTGTTAGATATGGAGACAACTCACTACACAAATTGGTGAGCTGAATCAAATCAAATAAATAATAATTCAGTATTATAAGATGTATCACAGAGGGTTTGAGCATTTTCTGGCCCTTGATACCATGTTAAGATGACATTCTACATTTTAGCATATATTATTTGATTTTGATGTGTGATCACAGAATTGGCATGTAATCTCACCTCTTCAACTCTTCCACCAGAATATTCATTGCCCCATTGAGTGCCTCCGACCCGACCTGCTGGCAGACGCACATGCTCCTCAAAATCGTCGGGAGTAAAGGATCGATTGTCTGACATCTGCTTTTCTCCCTTACCGTTCAACTGCTACACTGTCTCACCCTCTAGAAGCCATGCTGTCTGTGATTGAACTGAACTAACTTCCTTATCACTTTCTGACACATTTAGCTAAAGATGTTTATGCATAAGATGCCCTGCTGCCTGATCAAAGCAACCCTCTTCTAAAAGCCTGTCTTTTCACCCCTGACTGTCACGTCTCTACATGCTCTATTGGAAAATGCAGACTCCGGCCATTACATTTCCCTCCACATACTTGGGTATACCTCAATAGAAGTTATTTAGGACTTGTCACCAGTCACATTTATATACTTGTCAAATTGGCATTTGTTTTCCATTGAAATATTCATAAACATTTCCTAATCAAAGAGCTGAAACTGTCAGAAAGTAAGCACTGTTTTAAAGAATGTTATTGTAGTTATTAACAATGTTGTTTAACTTGTCCATGAAAATGTGCTTCTCTTTTCTGTAGCCTGTGTGATTGACACATTCTGAATTCTAATGTCTTTTTACTAATTTATCCCTTCAGTCTCAACGTGTGAATGTGTGAACTGGGATGTGAGAATTTGAACTGTTCTATTTTTGTACTTGTCGCCCATGCCAAAGTTTCTACCTTTGATGAAAAGAAGTCCATTATTTTAATAAAGCTGGAGAGATCCTGAAACCTAACCCCAATGTGACTTTTGTTCTTTTTCCAAATAAGAGGTTTACTGTAAGGACGTGCTCTGGTTTTGCATTCTATATGAAAGTGCTTGCAGAAGACTTAATGGATGGGCTGAGGGGCTCTCCCTGAATTTCTGTCTATCTGTCTAATGCTTAACATGTTCACCATCTTAGTTCAGCGCATATAGCATGCTGACAATTTGCTAAATAGCACTAAACACAAAATACAGCCGATGGTAATGTCAAACCATGGTAATCCTTCAAACTTTGGATCACCAAAATTATCTGGGGAGCATTAATGACGAAAAATTTCCCAGGAATCTATCAAATAGTTGTTAAGATGTTTCAGTCTGTACCAAAATGGTGGACTGACAAATGAGCCACTGCAAGGCTAAAAACAGACAAACACTCATGAACTGTCTGACAGTTTATTTCACAGTGAAATGGGACTGACCTACAATGAACATTAACAGTTACTGTAGCTCGAATGTTAGGATCACAAGTCAGGAATGCAGTTAGTATGTTACAAAGTGCATCTGTGATCTCTACACTATACTTCAGCATGATGAGGGCAGGAATGTTTTGTGTATCAGCAATGTTAGAAAAAGACTAAATCTGTAATAATGCAAAACCGAGTTGGGTTTAAACACCTGGAAAAGCGTTGGAGGTGCTCAGTGGTGGAAGAGCCGCAGGCTGGTGTGCACCAGAGTGATGCCCTGCTCATTACAGGCATTGATCACAACCTCGTCAGCAGCAGAGCCCGCTGGAGCTGCGATGTACTCAACACCACTCTGCAGACGGACACAGAGGGAAAGAACGTTAGTAAAGATGGTCTGTTAGAAAGCTCGTCAGCACGCCACTGTTTTCAGAGTCAATAGCAGCGATACTTCTGCATACAAAAAGGATTTCAGCAGTTATCCGCAGGTATTTCCCATGCAATGTCTTAAAAGTGCATACAGTATAAACTCCTGTGAATGGTGTGCTTTAGTTACCCGTTTTGCACGATCTATGTTATCTCTGAAGGGGAAGAAGGCGTCAGAGCTGACAGCCACACCCTGCAGGGAGCTGATCCAGTTCTTCTTTTCAGTGTCCGACAGAAGCTCAGGCACCTCTTCATACATCGACTTCCAAACTGCCAAGTCTGGGCCCTGTCACAGAATAGGCAAGCAGGCTATGTGTACTTGATGACCACAATTTTAACTGATAGTTTTTTTTTTAGTTAAGCAATAAAGTGAAATCTAATGTAGCCATTGCCAAGTTACTGCTCTGTTTGGTGCTGTAGCCAACCGGAAATGAATTACCAGCCACCGACATGAAAATTACACAGCTTAATTATCCAGTTAATAAAATACTATCTGCTGCTAGCCATCTTAGCGCTGAGCTTACATTGTGACTATGTGGCACTCTATTTGTGTCTCAGAATAGATATTTGTTTGCTCAAATGACATTATTCTTTGTGTGATAATTCCTTTACAAGATACAGTTTGTGCTTGCAAAAAAGCATTGCCCACAAAACATAATCCACATAAACCATAATCTGTGACAACAGACTATGATCCACTTATAGCAAACAACAGAATAGCAACTGAATTCTCTCTCTTGTTCAGATGCCCTGTGTGATGTGATAATTTCCCAAGACATCATGTGTGCGTTTATGCATATTTAAACAAGCAGGCAACCAGTAATGGAAAATAGCAAATACAGAAGTGTGTGCAGAATGCAAATTCATTGAATGGCTATTCTTCCAAAAACATCAGTGAGAAAAAGACGCATTGCATTTATTTGGTTGGTTATCCTGCAGCTACAACTAAACTACTGTTCATCTTAAAAGTACCTATTGCCCATTGTTCCCACCATACCTCTCCAATGGTGTTGCTGACATACTGGTCAATTGCGTTGGCCATCTCCGCTCGCTTCACACCACTGCGAAACTTCATGTTCAGGACACAAGGGTTGTGTCTCAGCCACCAGTTATCAGCTTTGTCACCTGCCAGCCGTGTGCAGTGGATACGAGACTGCTGACCTGCACCGATGCCAATAACCTGCAAAAATACAGACAAGAGAAAACCTTATTGCTAAATTCAGGTTCCTTTCTTCTCCTCTGACCTGCCTTTTCTTACCTGTCCATCTTTAGCATAGCAGACAGAGTTGGACTGAGTGTACTTGACAGCGATGGTGGCCACAGTGAGGTCACGCACGGCTTCCTCGGAGAGCTTGCAGAAACAATGAAAAGAGTGAACACTTGATGACAAAAGCAGGTTGAGCCCAAAATGCAATATGAAAGTGAAGACTCACCGAGCCCTTGGAAACAATGTTCCTGAAGAATTCCTTATCAATGAGCCCCGTGTTCCTCTTTTGTTTGAGATAGAGACCAAACAACACTCGCACCTCAGTCTCATCAGGCTCGTAGTCTGGATCCATCTGGGACAAAGACGCACCTTGTTTCTAATCATCCTTATTTAAATACAAAATTTATCGTTTGATCGTTTAAAAAAATAAAATAAAAAAAAATCTCTCACCTGAAGGACACAGTAGTTGCCACTCTTCTTTTTGGAGAGGATCTTGAGCGCCTCTTCATCATAACCAGGGGCAATGATACCATCTGACACCTGAGAGCAATCAAATTTAATCATTGTTTAGGGAAACAATGTTGCAGCAAATGAACAAAAACAAATTCTTTATGTATCTGTTCTATGACACGTTTTACCTCTCTTGATATAATCTTGGCGGTGGGAACGTCACACACATCTGAGACAGCAATGAAGTCTCCAAAAGATGACATTCTGTCTGAACCTAAGGATGAAGAAGGAGTTAATAAAATCCCGTGTAAAAATATATCAAATACTCCAGTTTATCTACTAATTAATCCTTTGTTTCGGACCTCTTGCCCTGGCGTAGGCTGAGGCCAGCGGGGTGAGATCCTTCAGCATGTCGTGCACCATGCACACTTTGGCTTCCTCCTCAGTCAGAGGAACTCCTACTGCAGCTCCTTCAGAAGAAGAAAAGAGTCATTTTCACATTTAATGCACTTAATTCCAAGTCCGCAGCGTGTGCGCGCACATGTCTCTTCTGGTCTTACCAGCAGGGCTGACATGTTTGAAGGAGGCGGCAGCAGCCATGCCGAGGGCACTCTTTAACTCTCTGACCAGCTGCCAGGCGTTCAGAGCATCACACAGGTTGATAAAGCCGGGGGAACCGTTGACCACTGAGAGGCGGCAGCGACAGGAGTAGAAGCAATAATCAAAATGAATTACCTTTAAAGGATACATTTGTAGTTTTCAGCATTTCTACGGAAATTAGCAACATCTTTTTAAAAATACCTCACGTCAAAAGAAGTACCTTCTATCACGTATAGAAATATTCTCTTTTATTAACTGTTCTCTATTATTGTCCATCATGTCTGTTAAAGACTGGGAACGGCTCTGTAAAAACATAACAAAATTCACCTACCAGCAAAGTTAACTAATTAACATAATAAATACTATAAAACAATATATGTTTGTTTAGTTTGTATAAACAAAATTTGCCATTTTACAGGTGGGAATATGCTGGAATATTTCTTTGCCCTGAGACTCAGCTGAGACCGCAGATTACTGTGCCAGGCCAAAACACTGTCTGCCGCGTAACAATCTGTGAAATGGTAAATTGTCATTTTTACAATTCGGTCTTTGTACAAATTAAACAAATTGCACATAACATACTAATTAGTTTGCATTAGAAGTGCTGGTAGGACGATATTACCTTTACAGATCCAGGCTAGCCAGTCTCCCATTTTGAGTCTTTGCTAACCAGCTACTGGCTGTAGCCTTATATTTAACAACACATGTGAGAGTGGTATCAATATTCTCATTCCTTAAAAGACAAGTCACTAAACAATGCTGACACATCTAGGTCAGCTGAGACAGTTGTGATGGACTGTGGGTCTACCTTTCAGGGGGAGGGCTGGGCGAAGGGTGTAGAGTTGTGCGGGTGCTTGGTGAGGGTTCATGCCATAACGCAGAGGCAGCTGGGAAACACCACGACTGTACTGTCCCCGAAAGTAGTCCGATATGGCCTCATCATACTGTGCAGTGTGTGTGAAGGCCTGAAGAGGAAAAGAACAAAAAATACACTTGGATGGAAAAAAAAGAAATGCATTAATGTCTACCAAAGCCAGAGTTATAAACCTTAATAAGCATTAACATCCTATCACTTGGCAATTAAGAATTTAATACCAGGAGGTGACTATTATATGACAAATACATCTGCATAATTTATGTAGGTATTGTTCTGAAGCAAAGGAACAATCAGTTAAGAAGATGAAAGTTCACAAGTTGGCAAAAATAAAACTATATCCTAACCACATATTTCAGCACTTGTGCTAAAAAGCCTACAGTGGACTTGTTTTGCACGAACTGTTACAGCTACACCTACAGCCACCACCAAGAAAAGCTGCAATTTGGTGGCTTTGAAGGAGAATTACCTAAACTGAGCGTTCAACATGTTTATTATATTAACTGATGTTTGCCTCAGAAACCTGCTGGCCTTTTCTTGTGTTGCGTAAGCATCTAGCAGCATGTTGTTGCCACATCATTTTAAGACGGGTGCCTGCTCGTAGCTTTAAAAAAAAAGAAAAAAGGCATGATTCACCTGTTTTTCCAAACCCCAAGTCTTTGCCTACAACTGAAGAGAGACTGGAAAAGTCTGAACAGTGACAGGGTGGGATTAACTGATGTCAGAGGTAGATGTGATTAGAGGGTCAAGGGAGGTTGGATAGTGACACACAGTTTAAAGACCTTCCAACATCAGGGAACAGTCTGTCCTTGTCCTTTTTTATGTCTCATCAAACATGTTATTATTACTATACTAACAGGGGCATCAACTGGTTCAAGTGAGAATTTTAAAAATAAAACTAAAGATTGTTTTAAAATCAGACTACAACTGATTTGATTTATAAGACTTTTTTTTTTTTTTTTTTAATTAAGAGGGATTTTAGAACATTAACTTGTCCACTTTCAGTATGAATC